CTGGATAGGAAATTTATCATACAAACGTTTACCTATAAGGACTTTACTATAGTTTCATTTAAACACATTTTAATCGGCCTAACTGGTTTCAAGGGTATCCCATACTCTATCAGAATATTGTACAATACTTCCCTCTTAACTGAATCATAGGCTCTCCTGAAGTCTATGAATAGCTGATGTACTGTCATATTGTACTCCCATTTTTTTAAATATCTGACATAATGGTTGAATTAAACATTTCTGGAAGAAGAATGAACATGGCAGACGTACATTCACCTACAAATTCCTACACAGAAAAAACAAGAGACAAATTTAGGGAAAAATTAGAAGATGTTTTACACAAAATATCCAGCACAAATGAAATATTTTTCCAGGGGTATTTCAATGCAAGAGTGGTAAAAGAATATAGACAAACAGTGCATATATTCACAGAAGAAGAAATAAAGAACGATGGGAAAAGGTTGAAAGAAGCGTGGGATTATCATAATTTAAAAATAAGTAATACCTTTTTTGAACATCAGGATGTACATAAATATACCCGGATTAAAAAACAGAGATTTAAAATCCATTATTATGTTACTATAAAACAGAAAAAAAACAGTATGAATAAAAGATGTATGGGTCTTCAGAGGAGCAAATTGAGGATCAGACCACTTTCTTGTGAGATTGGAAATAATTTACTTTTGACATACTCATGGAAGAGGAAGATAAATTCAGTACTGAACTGCTCCAGGATGGTAGTACAAGGAACCTATACTCACAAAGATTAAAGGATACTGTGACATGTTGAGCTATGGATGACGCCCCTCCCCCACCCTGCCAGCCGTGATGCGCCGAGCGAAGCCGAAGTGAGCCGAAGTTAGCCGAGTCCCCGCAACCTGGTAGCTATGCAACGCGAGTCAACAGCGATGACGTCACCAAGGGTACCGCGGGTTGCTAGGCAGCGCGGGTAAACAGTTGTTGCGAGAGACGACGGTAGTAACAGCGGTACACAGCGTTGCTGGCACGATGGCACCAGACATAGTGGTGCCTATTACGTGGCCGTTTTCTGTATTGTCCAATCGAGGCTACATAAGGAGCAGTGAAGGCTATTCACAGCCAGTCCTCGAGCTACCTCCGAGAGTTCTCAAGGCAGTAGCCTACGAGCAGAGTTGGAATCTAGCCAGCAGCGTGTTACGAGTGAAAGTGTGTAATTCAGGGAGACTTGTATAGCTCCCGCGTTATTAATACGTGAAGACTCTTCAAGATAGTGTGAAGAGATTTTGTTGTAGGGTCTGTAAAGTGTGGAAACCCGGAACATTGTGATAATTAATTGTAGCCGATATTTGTAGACTGTTAAATAAACCAATTAACAATCTCTATGGTGTCTTCAGTAACGAAACACGTTACAATACTATAACCGATTACTACTCCTGATGACATACTTCACCAGATTTATGTGATTATTTAGGTGTCAATTATTGTATTTTAATAAGATTTAATTAATTTTTGAATTTGTGAGATTATGTATATTTTATGGATTATATTACGCCATAGGCTATAAATTGAGATGATGATGCAATATGGCGTGACTTCTCATCTGGGGTTCTCCTTCATTAGGGAATGTATGATGCAAGCCCCATAAGTAGTTAAACTGGGGCTTTATTGGAGGTTGACAACCAATCAGGATTGCCGGTTTCTAAGCATGACATCATGCTGGTAGTTACCTGATGTCATGTGCAATCCTTTATGTCAGAAAGAGGCGTCCAGGCTTTGAAATGAGTAGGACGTGAGCCAAGTGTCTCGCCCTCAACATATTAAACAAAGGGCTACACTGAGTATAGCTGACTATGTAAATTGTGAACTACAATAAAGTGTTAAGTGTTTTGTGAGATTATTGTTTTATTTGTTGACTCTTTTGTTGAAACCAAGGCCCATGTTAAGACCCTGAGAGAATATCCTGTGTGCTCCAGATGGAGATGGCGCCCAAGACTTTCCATGTCTGGATCTAAGAGTCTAATGACTGCAGCAACTATAGGATAACCCAGTTGTAGTAGCCTCAGGGAGGGTCTTCAATAAGGAATGGAGTGTCTAAATAAGCGAACCCCTCCCCACAGTGAGACTACATCTCCGCACAATTCCTCGGAGTCGTTACCAGGCGACTTATAGCAAACAGCTGAGTCAAGGTAAACCCTGTAGTGAAGAGAAGTGAGTGTGTAAAGTAGGAGGCGGTTATAAGAAGGTGGCTCCCACTACATAAGGTGGTTAAAATAAATTATATAAAGAATTTAAAGGGAGCTCTGAAGAAATGCATGAATATATAAAGAACACAATAAAGAAAAGAGCATTTTTTGTACCACATTTCATTTTTTGCCTTTATAACTGCCTTTGCTATAGTTTTCATTTTCTCTGTGTAGATTTCTTTATGTACATCTTGTTTTGAGGTTAACAGTTTAAGTTTATGCGTTCCAAAACTTATTGTCATCCAGTTTGTTCTGTAATTTTCCTTTATTTTTACACTCAGTGCTTTTGTTCACTAGTAGCATCAGAATTCAGCTTGTTACTTGGGTACTAGGAAGGAGTAAATACTACTTCCTAACAAGCTCCCGGCTGTCAAGTGTATCTTCACAATCTAGCATTTGCCAAGACAGTTGAGAAATTCACTGCAATCTGTCAAACCCAAGGTTCAAATTAGCATAACGCTGATTACTATCCTGAGCCAAATGATATGTAGCACTCAACCAATTCCTTGAAGATCCATTCTAATGCCGTCCCCTACCTACACCCGGGTCTTCCAAGTGGCCTCATCCCATCATGATAATGACCAAGACTTAGTGCATTTCTCAGTTCTCCCACATGCTACATGTTGATGCTTCTCATCATGCTTGATTTGATCACCCTAATAATCTAAGGTGAAAAACACAAATTACAAACCTCCTCATCTGAAATTTTCTCCAGCCTCCTGCTGCCAGTTCCCATACTGTTCCCACTCTCCCTTAATGTAACAGACTCAGTTGCATTCCCATACAAGACAGAATTCACAGCTTATGCAGACAGCCTACATTTTACACCAGTCTTCCAGTGCCTGCCTGAACAGTCAATCCATGATCTACCAAAGTGCTTCATATTTTTAGTGTTACTGAGTGCTGAAGCCAGATGGTACATTCAACCACTTTACCTGGCAGAAGTGTAGGCTGTCTCTAATGACATTCCCATGGTCCCAGCCAACACTTGCCTTCAAAGCTCAGTCAGAGAGTAGTATCAGTGAGCCGAATGTTTGCTTAAATAAAATTTACAAGCTTCTTCTACCACACACCTAATGATTCTTCCACAAGCTTCTTCTGCCATGCCTAATAATCCTTCCAGCAGCTTCTTCTGCCACACACCTAATGATCCTTCCACAAGTTTCTTCTGCCATGCCTAATGATCCTTCCACAAGCTTCTTCTGCCACACACCTAAGGATCCTTCCATAAGCTTCTTCTGCCATGCCTAACGATCCTTCCACAAGATTCTTCTGCCATGCCTAATGATCCTTCCACAAGCTTCTTCTGCCATGCCTAATTATCCTTCCACAAGTTTCTTCTGCCATGCCTAATGATCCTTCCACAAGCTTCTTCTGCCACACACCTAAGGATCCTGCCATGTTCAATTAGTTTAAGGTAGTTTCATATAATTTATTTACTTCTCTGTTAACACCTACCTACTATATATTTCATTTGTTTCTATAAGCCCCACTCTTGTATTTACATACCATTCACCATGTCAAAAGTATGATTCCATCAATTGTACCAATGTTATGATTCAAAAGGTAAAGGTAAAACTATCCCTGTTAACAGGCCGTGGAGGCCCATAGGGTTGTGAGACATCTATGGCAGTGAGTATGTCAGCCTTGTGTGCTGGCCACCTTTTACCACCAGGAAGATTTCTGGTACTCATTTCTGTTAGAGGCTGAATCAACCCCAAGGCCATTATGTGACTGGAAAGATTAGGCCAACTGAAAAATTCAATGACCTCATCAGGAATCAAACCCACAACCTTCTGGCTTGTAGGACAGTGCCTCAACCAAATATGCTCCCACATGCCCTAATGTTGTGATTTGCCTTGAATTATTATTTATGCTGCAACAAGCAAGTTGGCTATAAAGGTAAAGTTGTACCTGTACTTAACTAATTAAGCACTACACCATGAAGGCACAGGGGGGAGTGGATGTATGTATCCACATTTTCTTGACCTCAGCAATACTTGGAGGTGGGCAGTCAGCCTCACATCCTAGCCACTTTACCCAGGATGAAAGAGCAAATGGTAACCACTGGGCCCCAGAGCCAGTCTGGACGTGGAGATAATTCTTGATCCTACCGGGATTCTAATTCCGACCCCTCAGTCATACAGTCCACAGCCAGTCGCTATACTGACTATGCTATCCCGCCTCCTGACAAGTTGGCTATTCACATTTGAAGTCTTATATTCTTCATTTTCAAGTAAGTCTTGTTTTGGGCCATGCCATAGCTCAAGCGGTTAGTCGCTGGCTTCCCACCGGGGCGGCCCGGGTTCGATCCCGGGTCAGGTCAAGTGGGATTTGTGGTGGACAAAGCGCTGAGGCAGGTTTCCTCCGAGTACTTCAGTTTCCCCTGCCAATCTTCATTCCACCAACTGCTCCACAATCACCCTCACCTATCATCTGGGGCTAGTACAATAGGCCAGAAGTGGCCGCAGTATAAGGGACTTAGTCCCGCCCCACTAGCAATTATAAAAAGTATTGTTTTCATCAACTAATAATATGTGGAGTCACATTCTTGCGTCATCCTTCAGTGAAGCATGACATGTTCCTATCACATGCAACATCAATCCCGCTTCAGTTTATCTTTTTTATACAAAATACTTTTTGAAAAAGATAACAGTCACTGCCTCATGCAGAGTTAGTGGAGTCTTTAGATCCATGGCTTAACTAGCACTTTTACATATCAAACACAGCCGAAACAGAGTGAGAGGGAGAGAGTATGAAACAGATTAAAAGACTTACTTCAGTTTATGCGTTTCATCATTTAAGAACAAGTTAGGTGGTTGTGCTGGTAACTTATTAGAACTTGCTTTACTGATATTTCTTCTTCCACTAGGCATCACTGAGGACTCTTCAGATCTTGATATGGTTCCTTTCTGGAAGTGAATATTACGTGTTATTTAAGAAACGTTCTAAAAGTCTGTATCAGTTTCTCTTTTAGAACACCTTCAGACCAGGGTGACAAGTGTCCTTATGCTGTTTCTGCTCTGAAATCAGCAAGAATATTCATATACTTAAACTTGAACGCAATGAAATCTAAACTAGAAACACACCAAGACAAAAGCATTCATGATGACCTTGCCCTGAAATATCGCAATTACTGTTAACTGGTGAATTTTGTTATACTAAAACCCTACCTAACACCCTACTTCACACAGTAAACACCAGATTACAACAGATTCTACATTTCTGGACAGGAAAGTCATAATTACATACATACAACAGGATGCACGAAATGAAAATTATAAATGCTAGTCAAGTAAGCAGCATATATATAAATACATGAAAAATAAGGTAAATCTATTGAACTGCAATGCTAATATATATTTTAATAAGAAGCGCTTAGCTGAGAACTTGACACCAAAATATGCACTAACAAAAACGAAAGTAAATCCACATAACAAAACTTGAGATCTAAAAAATATCAAAAAGTTCCAAATGAAATGAGTAAAAAATGAAATTAAATTTTGGTATATTAAAAAAAACACCTAAATAAAATTATATACAGTATGCATCTAATTGGAAAGATCTATGGTACAAAATATACCTTAACATCAAAACTATGATTAAACAGAAATTGGAAACCAAATACGACACTTTAAACAACAAAATTAAAAAACTAAAACAAGATAAGGGAAATAACAACACTGCACAACATACGTTTTCTAAAAACACGATCAATATGACCGACATCACATTTACTGATGATGAATTGCACCTTCTAGACAAAGGACTGAAATATAACCTGCAAAAGAAACCCCAAAATTGGATAAAAAGGTCAGCCCTCAAAGCTGACACTGCTATAAGAACTATACCTGAGAAAGACCAACCTTATTTGAAACAGTTAGTAGCTAACAACTTTAAAAATTAATCAAGAAGCAACATCAAAAAAGAAATAAAACACAATACATTCAAAAAGAACAAGTAGAATGGAACACACTAAAGAACATCAAACAAAAATTAATCTATAATCACTCAATGATAGCAAGGCTGATAAAGGCAACACGATAATCATTTTAATAAAAGACGACTACATAAATAAACTTAATAATTTTCATTTCACGCATCCTGTTGTGTTACAATATACAACCTCTTTATTATATCCGTCACAACACAACTAATATCAAGATCAGACCATTTTCGGCCCTGCTACACATGTTCCGGCTACTGATAGCCATCATCAGACAAACACATGATTAACACACACATATACACACCACTGAACCGCAGCACCAACAAAATTGGATACAATATTATTAAAATTAAAACTGACTTGACAATAAATCAAGTTACATAAAACAGAAGTATGATATAAAATAGGAATAAAATTCTTTTGGTGTTTACATCAACGTGTCAGTCGTTGGTTTGTGATTTGTTTTTTTATAATATAGTCAGTGCCTCATCTCATTATAATTTACTTTACTACATCTACATTACGAGCCTCATACACAATTTTATATACGCATAAGTATGAATATTCCAACTTGTCCATGAGAACGAAACAAAAAACAAATCACAAACCAACGACTGATACGTTGATGTCAACACCAAAAGAATTTTATTCTTATTTTATATCATACTTCTGTTTTACATAACTTGATTATTGTCAAGTCAAGTGTTTTTACATATTTTAATAATATTTTATCCAATTTTGTTGGTGCTGCGGTTCAGTGGTGTGTATATGTGTGTTAATCACATGTTTGTCTGATGATGGCTACCAATAGCCGAAACATGTAGCAGGGCCGAAAATGATCTGATCTTGATATTAGTTGTGTTGTGACGGATATAATAAAGAGGTTGTAAACTTGATAACTTCATTAACAATAATAACTTCACAGAGTTATCACACGACATCACCAACAAATTACAACAAATCAAAAAGAATTGCATAAACAGTAGTAAAAACATCATAAAACCCAATGATAAAATGAAATACATACATGAATCCCCATGCACCACACATATATGGGACTATCAAATTACATAAGCAGGAACAACCCATACGACCAACAGGAAATTGGAAAAACTGCCCTGCATATAAATTAGCTAAACACTTAAACACAATACTGGCAAATACATTACAACTTCCCAATGCTTTTAATGTGAAAAACACTAGCACACTTGCACTTGTAACTCATCAAAATAAATATAAAGATATACAAATGTGTTCTTTCAATATTGCAAATATGTATACCAATATCCCCATAAATGAACTCTTATTAAACATTGTAGAAAATATAATAGATAAGAATCATAACATTTCACACAAAAAATAATGAAATTGATAATCTACTAAATATAACGCTAGAACAAAATTACATTGAACATAATGGCAAATGGTTTAAACAAAATGAAGGTCTCATCATGGGAGCACCAACTTCAGCAATTCTAGCCGAGGTATTTATACAATATTTCCTCGAACATACCACAATCATTGACATCTCGAAGAAATTCCAAATAATAGATCATTATAGATATGCTGATATTTTAATCATCTATAATTCCCATATAACTAACAATGATAATACTTTGAATGAACTTAACAATATACACCCTAAATAAAATTCATGGTGGAAAAATATATAAATAATAAAATTAACTTCTTAAATCTATCCACCAAAAAAACACGCAATAATCTACAACTCGGAATCTATAGAAAACCTACAGCTACTGATCTAACTATTCACAACGATTCATGCCACCCTTTTGAAAATAAAAAGGCCGCTATAAACTTTCTCATTAATCAGTTGAATCAATATCCCCTTTCGCATAACAACAAGAGCATAGAAGAGAACACTGTTAGAACTATACTAAATAATAATAATTATCCACAAACACCATACAACAAATACAAAAACCTTCCGTAAAAATACCGTGCAAAAAAAGAAATGAACCACCTTTACCTTTTTTCAGTCTTGAAATCAGAACTATTACCAAATTATTTAAAAATACTGAAGTTGGTATTTCTTACAGGACAAAAACCAATATTAAACATCTTTTAAAAATAAATGAAAACAAAAATTATAAGTACCACCTTAGCAGAATTTACTAACTGACTGTCCGGACAAACCAGACATACCTTTAAAACCAGATTCAGAGAACACATAAGAAACATAAAAATAATGAACAAAACTCCAAACTTGCTCAACATAGATTAGACACCACACATGAATATAGCACGATGGACAAAACATTGGAAATTCTATATATCGGCAAGAAAGGCCGAACACTGGATACTTACAAAAGATTCCATATTTACGAAATCAGCAAACAAAATTTACAACTGAATGATAATTTTACTGAAATTTTTAACCCTATACATGATGTAATCATCGATGCACACCAAACATAATCTACAGTTACATCCCCCCTCCCACCACATCCTCACACACCCTATCTCTACCTCTACCTCTC